CAGCCGCCCGCCCTTTTACCTGACCGCCCGAGGCAAGCCAGCATCATCAGCATCAGCCGCCCGACCCTTTACCTGACCGCCCAAGGCAAGCTAGCAGCTAGCATCATCAGCATCGGCCGCCCGCCCTTTTACCTGACCGACCGAGGCAAGCCAGCATCATCAGCATCAGCCGCCCGCCCTTTTGCCTGACCGCCCGAGGCAAGCTAGTATCATCAGCATCAGCCGCCCGCCCTTTTACCTGACCGCCCTTGTCAAGCCAGCATCATCAGCATCAGCCGCACGCCTGTTTACCTGACCGCCCATGGAAAGCCAGCATCATCAGCATCAGCCGCCTGCCCTTTTACCTGACCGCCCGCGGAAAGCCAGCATCAGAAGCATCAGCCGCCCTTCCTTGTGCCTGACCGCCCTTGTCAAGCCGGCATCATGATCAGCCGCACGCCTGTTTACCTGACCGCCCAAGGAAAGCCAGCATCATCAGCGTCAGCAGCCACCTTTTTACCTGACTGCCGAAGCCAAGACATTCTTTGCCGGAAAGGCCGCAAGCTAGTAAGCCAGCTGTCACGCATTCGTGTTGCTTATGGCAAGTGGCCTGGAGCAGATCGAAACGATTTTCTGTGATCTCCAAAAAACCACGCCTTGCAGCCTCCCCATCAATCGCTTTGTCTTCCGCCGCGACCTCTGGCTTGGGCACCGGCTCAACCTTGGCATAAGGCAACTTCCCTGAAAGAGTGCAAATGAAAAAAAGTCCTCACGCAACGTCCTGAAAGAGCATCTGCGATTCACAATTGAGGCGGTGGCACTTTGATCGAGCATGCTGGTGATCAGCTCTTGCGCAGCCTCCCATGCTCATGCATGATCGATGTAAGTACGATTTTCGTATCTACGCTGAGAACTTGATTTTAGGGCAACTGCCATGTAGGTACACCGGCTCAATCATACACTTGAATCAACTGCAAGTGCAATCTAGAGCGGTACAGCAGGCTCTGAGTATGCAGCTGATGCCCTTCAGCCATGCAGGACTATCACTGTCAGCACTTGTAGGGGCAGATTTTGTGTCCAAGCTTTGTGTGTGAGGCCTCGCCAAAATGAAAGGACGGGTAGAACATGCTGTCATTTTAAGGCACCGTGGCGTTCGAATCAAGTTCCCTGTGGCATCGTCATTGTCTGGCTTGAAGGTCACTTCACCTTCAACCAGCCACCCGCCCTAAGCATAAGCCAGATGCCTCTCGCTTGCGTTTCCTCTCTGCTTCAATGGCAGCGGCTTGCCTTTGAGCCACTTCCAAGTCCTGCAGAAAGACAAACATAGCATGAGATTCACAGTAGAGTGAAATTCTGCCCGTTCTGCGTCTCACCAACTGCCAACCTTCTTCGCCTGCTCTTCCGCCTCCTTCTTCTTCCTTTCCCGCTCCCGCTCACGCTCCTTCAAGAAAATGACAAAGCAACAAAGTCAAAAGGCAGGTTAACTTCCCCCGCCTTCTCCTTAGCTTCCTCTGCAGCTATGCGCTTCTGCTCCTCCACTAGCTTAGGGGTGAAGCGAGCTTCAGGTCAGAGGTCAGAAGTTGTGCCTCCATGGCATCCATGGCCTCCTTGCCCGCCTTGACCTTCTCCAGGTCATCGATGATGGCCTCTGCTGGTCGACAGAAACATGAACCTACGCAGGACTACAAGTTGCAAAGGCAACAGCACTCGGCCCCAAGACCCGGACCAGGGCATCGACTCCACGGTACTTATCGACAAGCCTGGGATCTGAAGGGCCACCACTTCAGGTGCAGCTGTGTGCCAAGGATGTCACCGGCTCTAGCTTATCTTCTGCTGGTTTATGCTTTTGCGGCCCACATGACAGGATGGCAACGTACCCTCATGGCGCCCGATTTTGTCTTGGGCCCAGTCTCATCCACGGCCGTGCGCGGGCCCTCAAGAGCCAGCACTTCATCCGGAGCCCGCAGGGCCTGCAGCGTATGCACAAACCTCAGGTGCCCTGGACCACAGGCTGATGCGTTTCTCACGCCGGGCTGGGAGCATATAGACTGTCAGATCGCATGGCATCCTGAACTATATTGAACCAGGGTCAGCAAGTACTCGGCTAGTGAAGCGCAGTGTCCTTGCTGCCAGTCGCGGTAGTCACTACGCATGCCTTTCATGTTTTCAGCTCCCGAGAGCGCAGACAGAAGACCACACACTGGGTTGTCACGCCTGGTGGGCTTGGATGGTCGCCGCGTTCTTGCGGCGGTCACGGCCTCACCGCTGACTTGTAGCGTTGCCAGCGGACCAGCTCTTCTTCCAGGTTTCCAACACGCCAGGCACTCTGCATGGCTGATGTGGACAATGGCGTGGCACTCTGGGCAGTTCCTCAGCGCTGCCCAGGCCATTTCATTCCAATCAAAGTCCGCGGAGGTACTTTGAAGTGCAGGCAAGGCGCTTCTGCCCATTGCCTCATACAACAGGAACATTGCTTTCCCTGAAGTCCTACATCTACGTGCGCAGGATTTCAGACTGCGGCAGTACATCTTCTGCGAGGCCAGCGGGTAGAAGTCATGAGCTCGCTGGCCTCAGGGTTGGAGCTTGGGCTTTCCAAGTAAACTGCAAATTGAAAACCCTCCAAATCCAGGCTCCGCACCCATGGTATTGATTGTTGGCTTCGGGTGGTTGCCTCAAGCGGGCTACAGTCACTACAGTGTTCACTACACTGGCTGCGCAGCAGTGCAGCTGAGGCGAAGGGTAGATCTTCAGTGGCGGGCAGGTGGCGCAGAACATGTTTTTGCCCAAGTTCCAGTTCCTGCAATGCATCATCGAGCCCAACTCCGTGTATCCACGCCAGCGTAGCTTGGCGTGTGCTTGCGGAAAAACAAGGATGATCCGGGTGCATTTCAGAGGGCTCAACTGCATGCTGCCGGGCATGCTCTTTGTTCGTGAAACCATCCTTAGGGCTCTTTGTGCCTCGTGGCCACTGCGTGGCAGCATGTACGTGACGAAATCCCATACAAACATGTCCCCGGGTTGTGGTGGTACGTGACCATGTGGGATTCGTGGCCTGCATCCTGGGCACACGAAATCGGAAGACTTCCATGAGCGCGGCATGGCTGAAAGCACTTTATCAAAACTCCTGTCCTGCTTGAGGCTTGGAGTTTCTCTCTCTACTGTTCTGGAAGTGCTGAGACCATGTCGTGCAGGGATACTCATTGCATCCTCTTTGTCACTGCTTCTACGTCATGATTCTCTAGTTGCTGGCAGTGGCATTCAGATGGGCTTTTTCTGTCCTGCTACGCAGAGGATATTGCCTTCATGCAACATGTTTGGGCAACCGCACATGCTGCTCTCCTCTTGGGAACCTATCCCTGCAATGACTCAATGCCCCAAACAAAAGGAGTAAACTTAGGCTAACCACTTTGGTTCACAGAGGCGGGCTGGCACAGCTTCTTGGATCGCGTCATTGACCTTTTTGCTTGAACTTGCGCTCCGGGCCCAGCATAACCCCTTTGGGGACCAGGCCCTCCAACGGCTCTCCGAGCGGCTTCAGCGGCTCCTGTGTCCGGTGTATTTCCGGATCTGCGAGCGGCTTCAGCGGAATCTTGCTTGGAAACCGCCAAAAGGATGGGCATGACCGCCAGAAAGGAAAGGCTTTGCTGAAACTCGGAATTCTGGGGTGGCAAACATCCTTTCGGTCTGGGAACATGCTTTCCGTGCATCTGCATGAACCGGCATGACCCCAGATCAGCGGAGATCTCCCAGCAGAATGTCTTTTGTAAACCAGAGAAACTAGGGCAAGTAGTGTCCCCACTTGAGCAGAGGCTTCATATGCTTGTGATCTGGTAGACCCGAGCTGACATTTAGTCGAAGGCACGCCTCCAAATCCTGATCCGCCAAGCCTCGCCAAGCCTGTTGGCCGCTGGGCCAATGGGCCGCTGGGTGGGGGATCTGATCATTCTGGTATATTTGAGCTCATAGGCATAGATCCTGGAAGGAGTGGACCAGGCCCGAGGGTCTCTGGCTCAAGGATCAGCCATGGCCTGGGATCCAACAGTCTTTTTCGCTGAAGCGGCGTCAGGCCCTCTTGCTGGCCATACTGCCAGGCAAGGTTCGCAGGAAGAGTCTACATTGGGTATCTTCAGTGCCTGCGAACTCTGCCTGAAGAGCTTAAGCAAACCCATTTCCTAGCCTCTCTATGTTTCTTATGTTCCAGCGAATTGAATTGATTGACGCTGCAAAAAGTTTCCTGTGCACTGCATGCACTGCTTACCAGCACAGCCACTCGGAAAGCACTCAGCCATCAGAGCCTTCGGAGCCGGAGTGTGAGTGGTGTGAATTCGCTGGCGAGCTCTTCGGGGACGGCGACGCGGCCGCGGCTGGCAACTGGTTTGGCACCACGGGCACCATGTGCTGCATGTACAAGACCTGCCAAGATTACCCGAAACACATCTCTTTCACGCAAATCTTTGGCATGCGCTGCGGCAGCTGTCCTCGTCGAAGGACACTCGTCTCTTCAGCATTGTCTTTGGACGGTCGGCCTGCGTCAGAGCTTGAGGAACACGTCTCTTTAGGCTTGAAGCCTCCGCCTCCGCCAAGCATCCAGCGCTGACCTGAGGGCCAACCAGCTCCAAATTCAAACTGCTTGCAGCGGCTTGCCTTCAACAGAGCTGTTGCTTTCAAGAGGAGCTCAAGCACGAAGATTCGGAAGAAGCACGCCAGGGCCCGTGCCCTCCTCTGCAGCTTGCTGGGTGTTGGTCCATCATCCTGGCCCATGCTCAGGCCAGGCGCAGGAGCTGGCTGTGATGCGGAACAGGAACTCTGCAATTTGTGCCTCCGGTATTCGAGCTTCGACTTTGACGGGCTCCACGCGCGGCGGGGCACGCAGTGTGCCAGAGTCTTCAGGGCTGCGGTCGCCCTCCCCCACCGGACCTGCAAGATGGACAAACATAGACAAGCATGACTGATCAACTACCCATTCCAAACCCATCCTACCCTGCCTAGGGCATGAGATGAGGCACCCGAGCGGAAGGACTGCTGGGAGCGTACAGACTGGTTCGACCTTGCACCACACTTTTGCTGCTTTGCAAGCAGTGGCATACTGCCATGCAGCCATGCGTATGCCATGCGTATGCCATGCGTATGCCGTGGATGGTACCCCATGCTCCGCAGCCGCTGCGATGCAGGGCGAGGCCGGGAGGGTGAGGAGCTATCCAGGATCTTGGCAAACCAGCGTGGCAAGATTCAATACACAGGCATGGCCTACGGCTCTGGGGTCTGGGCACCAGATTCTTGGAATTGGAAGGATGAAGCCACAGCATCGCTCTTACCAGCCAACCTCAGCCAGCAAGACCTGCAAGGCCTTACAAGCTGTAGGAACTGTAGGCCATGACAGCGCAGAGCTGCCAAGCTTGTCTGAGGCATCCACTGGTGCAACAGGTCGAAGCCGGACTGGTCCCGACTAAACATGGAAACGCCTCGGAGGCACCAGAGTCGCACCCTGAGTCTGAGTGGTTTGCCATTTGCCGAGGTGCCCATGCTGCTCTTGATGCTCTTCGCACCGACGCTACTCATGCGGCTGACGCGGCTCATGGAGTGCTCACCTCTTGAGATGCAGCCATGCTCTAACAAAATGAAAACGAGCTAACATGACAATGGCAATACAACAAAAGATCCCACTTCCATCTGAGGTGCAGCGTGGCTCCCCAGACAGAAGGTCGCTGTTGTCAGGGTAGGCCGCCCCGGTCCTCAGCTCCAAGCATGCAGCTTTTCGACGTAGGACATGCTCTCCGCTCACCTCAAGCAAAACGAAAGCTCAGAAAGCGTTTCCAGACGCTCCGAGGTTCCCAGAAACGGCGGGAGAGCCTGCAGCCACTGAACTTACTGAACAAGGGGACATCACGTAGCGGGATACCTAAGGTCCCATCATACCCATCGAACCACTTAAATTGTCGAAGAGCACTTGAAAAGGTTCCTGCCCTGCTCATGCTGCAAAGAGCGGCATGAAAGAGTTGCGCGACCGCTCTGCATACAAACAGATTAACTGGACTGAAAGATGCAATGGATGCGGAACATGTAGCTACTTCTTTCCAGACCGTTTCTCTTCTAATCAACCTCTCGAAATCTGACGCGCCTGGTCCTTCAGCCCGTGGGCTGTCCAACATGACAGGCACCGGCGAAGGTGCGCGCGGAGCTTGTAGCGTGCTGATGGGCAGTCCTGGTGGTTGGGGGGCGATGAGCGACGACAGAGAGAACAGGGGATCGCTTCGATCTGCTCCCAAAGAAAAAAGAACCCCAAAGAACCCAGGAATCAAAACTACGAATCACATCCCCACATCACCAAATCTTCAAATCTCTCCGCTTAGCGAAGCCGGAGCCAGTGGCCTGGGCTCCTCGGGCTGCCAAGGCCTTCACCGTCCTCTCACATCATGGCTCTTTCTTTTAAAGCGCTTCTTTTAACGAGCTTTGCTGCTTACGGTAAGGATCTGTAGGGTTTATTTCTTGTTCTTGCAGGTCGCCTGTATATCGACGAAGGGTATCTCGGGCCACGCCACTACCCAGGTCAACAGAAAACCTGCCGTTGCCTCCGGAGATCCGCTCAGCTGCCCGGTAGTCTTTGCCTGCTGTGGAATCGCCAAAACCATGGAACGCAAAAACTGCAAAACAACTTCAATGCAAAACACCCACAAGCAGTGTCACAAGCATGTAAGATATTCCTGCCTTGTGCAATTTCTTGATGGACGGCACTTGGAGAAGTCTCGTCTTAGGCATGTTGCGCGCAACAGGTGAGAAACATGCACATGTGCAGGCCAGGGATCCGGGATCAATGAAGAATTATCTGCCAACAATATCCTAGGCCGCCAAGTCTGACAATAAAGCGGAGTTCCAATTGTAAAGCATCCCTCCCCCCACGCAAACAACTAGGGGTGACCCAATCAAGTTTAGGAAAAGGTGTTTTGGTTGGCAGTAATCTGTAGAGCATGGCATGCTAGTATTCCGTCTCTGCATTGTCATTGTTCCGTAAACTTCGCTCTATTCCGTATATTTCCGTTTGGCCGGCAGTTTGCAATATTCAGACCTCTTTTACTCATCACTATCAAATATTCCGTAGCTGCGAGAATGCGTGCAACCCAAAAGCTGCCACTCGAAACGTGCCGAGGACCATACGCCAGAGTCCTCCGGGCCCAGAGCCTGCCGTGCAGAAAATACCAGAGACTGACTTCACACCCGCACTACCTCTTGAGTAGCTCAAAGGGACATACTCTGGCCGCCCATGCTCTGGAACCCTCTGCTGGACTGATGAAACAACAGAAAAATGCCGGAGAGGCGGTAGAGGAGCGCCGGCGCATAAGGCCATCCCGTGATGCCTGAATGCATGGCTTGGGGCCTCAATGCCTGTGCCGAGGGGGAGGGGGGGGGTGGTCATTTCAGGAAAGGTCGGTGCTCATATAGCTATGCTGCCCAATGTCCGCTTTCATGCTTGTCATGTCAGAGCTGCGACAACCAACATTGAGCAGCATCACAGCTTACGCAAATAGCTCTGCTGTCGCAAAAAGAGCCTCATAAGTTGAGAATGTGCCAAAGAGACAGACTGCCAAGTACTGGGGTTCCTGGTTTGACAATCACACTCACAGGGCCTGTGCCAAAGCCCTTGACCCAGAAACCGGAAAAGCTCCACCCCATCGGGTCAGCCTGTGGAGTGGCAGCCGCCACCTGAGGTCAGCTGGGTTTGGGCTCGCTTTCAAACTTTCCGGCCTTCAAGGTTCTGCTTCTTCGCGAGGACTGTTCGGGTTGTGCAGAAGTTCTTGGGCAAGAATAAGATTTTGATTCCTCTTTATCAAGCCTTTGCTGGGTACTCCCGCTTCTTGGCAGCAGGCCTTGCTGCACGACAGGCTTCCAGGACCCCTAGAAAAATGCAGCCTACTCGGCCCACTGCATCTGGCCCCTTACTATCCCTTACTGGTCTGGGAGTGCACACAATTGACGCTGAGTTTCAAACGGGTGGAGTTGTTGTTATTTGTTCACTCAATTTTTCTCTTTGTGACTTTTTAATTTTGGCTGGAGGCCTGAAATCGAAGGACGCCTAACACAAGAGCGCGATTCTGAAGCAAAAGCTGTGAAGACTGATGAAAAAGTATGAAAAATCATGGAAAATCATGAAACACATGAAAACCATTAAAAATCATGAAATTCGTAAAAATGATATCAAAATGATGAAAAGTAATAGAACATGATAGAACATGATGGAAATTGTAGAAAACATGTGAAAATGAGAAAAATGCTAGAAAATGATACAACCATGATAGAACATCATGAAAATTGTAGAAAATGTTGAAAATGATAGAAAAATGATAGGAAAAAATAGGAACATGGTAGAGCATGATGAAAATGATAGAACATGACGAAAACGATAAAAAAAAATAGTAGACAAAATTATGAAAATGGTGAAGCATGGTGAAAAACATAAGCAAAAGTAAAATGATGAGAAATCAGGAACAATAATGAAAATGATAGAAACTTATGAACAAACATGAAAGTAATACAAACATGAGCAAAACATATGAAGAATAATGAAGAATAGTGGGAAATGATAGCAAAATCCTAGGATAAATGTGTAAACAAATATGGAAAATCCTCCACTGACTAGATGGTTGGAAAATAATGAAAAATAATGAAAATCATGAAAGACGATGCAAAAGGATTGAAATTGATGAACAATTATCAAAAATGATAACAAAAATCAAGAAAGTGAAAAAAATGATGAGAAATCATGAATAATTTATGAGAGATGATGAAACATGACGAAAAATACTGGAAAAGATCGAAAATGAAGAGCCAGATTAAAAAATCAGGAAACTTATAAACAATAATGAAAATTGAAATGATGAAAAATGATGAACCTGATGAACATGATGGGACATGATGGAAAACGATAAAACATATGAAACCTGATGTTGAAAAATGATGGAAATTATGGATACCATAAAAATGATGACATGGAGCATGGATGGCATTTAAAAAAAGCGGTGGTGTTGGGGGGGGGGGGCTATTTGCAAACAAAATGATCTGCATTATTCCTTGGATTGCCTCACAAAAAAAGTTGGGGGGTGTCGGGATCATGGAATTTCGAAAGTAATGAGATGATTTACAACACTGACAGTGGCAGGCATGCATGGCCGAAACAAAGGCAGGGGGGTTGGAAGGGGTGCAGCACCCCACATTTGCGAACAAAATGATCTGCATTCACTGATCATCAACAACAACAACAACTACTACTACTACCACTACTACTACTACTGCTGCTGCTGCTGCTGCTGCTACCGCTGCTACCGCTACCGCTGCTTCAGGAAGGTACAGAAAGCGAGAAACGACGAGCCAGAAATCGAAGAAGCCAGAAAGCCAAGAAGCCACAAAGCCAAAAACCCAAGAAGCCAAAAACCCAAGAGGCCAAAAACCAAAGCAGCCAGCAGAAAGAAGGCAGAAGTCAAGTACATGATGAAAACTATAGAACATGAGGAAAGTCATGACAAATGAAGAATGGAAATTATAGAAACATAATGAAGATCATCTGACATGAGAGAAAAATAGCAGAAAATAATGACCAATCATGAAAAAAATCTGAAAATGATGGAACATGATTGGAAATGATGGAAAAAGCCAAAGTGGAACACGCTCCACGCCAGGGCCTTCCCCCCAAAAAAAAAAGTACGAAAAAAAACATCTACCAAACATAGTCACTCCTTTTCAAACTCCCTGTCGGCTGCCGTGCCTTGGGATCTCCGTTTGGCAAGCCTTGCTTCAGGGCAGATTTCAAGGTGGCGATGGGCTCTGACTACGTTAGCTCATGCTTTACGGGCGGGGCTTGGCATCTGTGAAGCAATTAGATGCTACGTTGCTACAGCAGATCAATAGTTCAGCTTTGCAGAGACTTCAACTCCGAAGGTCAAACTGAGGTTGGAGCTTGCAGAGTTGTCAGCATCTTGGTTCTCGGGCTCTTGCTCATCCTGAATCGGACACGAATCGCACACGCAACTCATTTGCAAGGTGATCTTGGTTGTTGGTAGCTTACTGCAGCTTCAAGAATCAAACAAAAGGCAAGGCTTGGAAGTCAGTCGCCTGGCCTTGTTGCTGGCCTCGCCGTTCGATGGGCTTGGCTTGCTGGACTTGCCTCAGACATGGAACCGCAACAGTACTTTGAAAATATGAGGGGGCAGGCTGACGGTACGTCCTCAGGTCTGAGACTGGAACTTGCAGCCTTCGGCTTTGGGTCGCCTGGATTGTAGGATATGTCCTGCAAAATCATATTTTCAAGATGACCAGGCCGTCAATTGTTAGCGCTGTGCTGCCGGAGTAGCACGAACTCTTGGGGACCCCTTGAATCTCTCAGGATGTCGGGCTCTGGACTTGTCTCTTTCCTCTTTGCACTGCACAGGAATGCCTAAATTACTTCTGACATTCCTACATGCCTCTTGCCTCTCATGCAGATCTTTAACACTGCAAGTTGGAACGCAGCCCGCCCCACACCTTTCAGGTCTAAGCTCAAAGAGAACATGTGGAAGCTGGTCCCGACTGGTCTTGTCAGACTTCCGGCCGGCACTGACATCCGGGCTCTCGCCTTGCCAAATTCCCAATGCAGGTGTGCATCTTTGGTATTGCGTTGAACTGGGTGGCATGTGCAGCCATGCAAAAATGTGTGGAAAAGCACAACCATTTTGAACAAAGGCCCAGGCCACTGGCTTGCTGCTTCAGGTCCGCCTCGCCCTCCTTGCCGGCATTCTCCGGATTCTCGCCTTCTTTCTGGCCTCATGCCCCCTACACTCAACTACAAAAAAAAACCTGTGGACTTTCATGTTAATGCTTCACCTGGGCGTGGAAGACTCGTTAGAACTTTGAAAGAGTTTGAAACCTCCCTAACTTTCAAAGTCCGAGCGCCCAGGCGCTTCAGCGGCCTCCGGTTGACTACCAGGAGGTCACCTTCTGAATGCAGTAATGAGAAATCTCACAAAATACATGGCAGTGACAGAAAATGATAAATGAACAGAGCTGTTGCAAGTAGTTGAACTTTCCATAGGACTGGTACAATAACAACGGAGGCGAATTCAAATGTATGGGGTGACTTTTTCAACATTCATCGGGAATAAAAGAAATTGAGACACTGACCAAAACATTAACATGATTATAAAAACAAAAGGAAAAACAACCAAAATATCAAATACTGAGGCAGAAATCAATGCATTAGGCAACTTAGATATTACACACAGTGATGTTGGGAAGTCAAAGAGTTAAAATGGACAATCCAGATAGCGATGGCATTGCATTTACAAGTATCTCAGACGCGAATGTCTTAGAAGTATCTAGCACAGGTATTTATGTGAATGGGCCGGTCGGTTGTGCTTTATATAGTAAATTGAACTAAAGCATACGAGAGATAAACAATGAGCACTAACGGACTGTGCCAAAACAAATGTTGTCTCTTGTGGGCCACCGCTCAAAAATCAATAAAAGGGCCAACTGGTTTGAAGGAATAACAAAATTCAAAAGCTTGAAAGGTGAAATGACGAAGTTGAAAAATAATATCAAAGCTAAGAGCAATGATTCAAAAGTGTATGTTAACGTATATGACAGAATTCAAAAATTGTATAGGATGTGTATGGAGATAATCAAGCAAAGGCAAGACAAGTATCCAAAATTGACGTACTGTAAAAGGCAATGGAAGATTTACTCCCAAAAACAGGCGAAGAAAAAAGAGTGGCATCATCAAAAAAAATGCCCATGCTTTGGCTCTATTACTCTTCATTGCAGTCCTCTGTCCAAATTCTAATGATGAAAAATGATATGGATCAGAAAGCTTCTCGGCTCAAGTTCCACTGTAGCTCACGTGCCGCGAACTGACAAGGCAGATCGCAACACATCCTCACGCCCCCGGCAATACTGATAGGCACTGGCCAGAATCTGGCGCCCCAGTTTATGGCAATCTACCCAGAGAGTCATCGTTTTCTGGGGCGACGCGCTCCGTTCCATGCCAATAGAACATCAGCAGCGCCTGGCACGCGGACTTACTTAGTTCTAAAGGTACATGCGCACTAAGGCTCCCAATAGCAAACAGTGTGAGTGCGCAACGCGGCGCCGCATGATTCCCCCCTTCCATGACACAGATTAGCAACACATCCAGTGCTCGTTTTAGGCAGTCGGTGCGCCAAGGAAGTAGCCGCAGATAGGCCTCCAGCACGGTTTGCTACATACGCTCCCAGGCACAAGCAATCTTTGAGGCCGACATGGCCATGGCACACGCGCAGCCAGTCCAACAGCAGGGGTACTTACTCCAGTTACAGCACTGCGCGCTAAGTACGGAGATAGGCGAAACACCAGGAAACTACACCTTGACGCGGCGCACCAACTTAAGCAGCAGCGTCGTTGGGCACGGCAGTCAATATTCAACTTTTGTTGCGGGCAACCCTACTCTGCGACTCGCTCGCTAAGGAGTCGAGCATGTTGGGGATTACCTGCCTCTGCGCAAAGCGCGCGGTATATGTTCCGTTCCAAAACCAAAACCACGCCAGACATGCACCTTTCCTGCTGGGGGCTTTTATGGGGCTCGCTGCAGGACATTATCCGAAGTGGCTGTCAAGAAGTGCAAATTGTCAGGTGCCTTGACGCTTTGCATCCTAGCCATCTTCTGGAACATGGGCCCGACAGCAAGATTAGCTGTAAACCTTGTAGATGCATGGCCCTCCTGTGCAGTGACAGCAGCGTGCAGTCCTCTGGCCTCATGAGGGTGTGATCTGTATACAAGCTGACTTCAATCCCAAAAATCAATATGTGACACAGCTTTCGGTCGAAGCGGTAGAGAAAACATTACACTAGAAGAAACAGGGGAGCAAATTGAGAAATTAAAGGAGCAGGTGTGGCGATTGACAAGCCTTCAAAGAATGAAGAATGTGGATTGTCAAATATCCAGCTTATTATGACAGGTCACTTAGACAAATACCCCACTTGAAACAGAAACAGGGGCCCTTCATGTTCTTACGTTTCATAAGCACGCATGAGAGTGTGAAAATGATTCTAATACAGAATTTATTCCAAAAACAAATCTTAAGGAACCAGCGCCTTTTCGTAATCCTGTATTATGCAAGAACGTACATTATAGAAATACTGCCGGTAACATCCAGTAACAATAGATAAGCTAATTGCTGAGTTTGGACCATGTAGTGAGCCAGATATGAGCTTTACTAGGAAGTGCCATCGTTGGTGTCGTTGTAAGAAGGCCGTGTTGTTTCAAACGGTCATACTGCGTTGGTAGACATTCTTATTGCTATATTACATGTACTCTGACTTGTTCTAAATTCTTAGATAAGTCTGTCAAGAATGATAGCACTGTTTCTGTTGGAGTTGTATTCCTTTAGAAAACACTTCAAGACTTAAAGCCATGAAATAAAATCGTATGTTATAAGTAATGGGCGATGCATGACGAATTCCAAGAATGTAGTAGCTGTAACCGTGTTAAGCACGCAGACGCATTTGACGCTTTCTTGACTTGCAAGCAGTGTCGTGAACGCAGTAGACGCTGCCACCAACGGATTAGACAGGAAGTCAACAGTAAAAAGTGAAAACAAAGGACGGAATTGTCTGTTCAACTGTCCAGGATGCTGGCGTAGAACTTCCTGAAAAATACCAATGGCATTTAGCGGGAAAAGTGCATGAACAGACACAAAACTATATGCTTAGATCCAGGTGTATGGCACCCAAATAATTTGTAAACATCGTTCCTAGGATTGTAACTTAGGTAGGCATCTTACGGTAGATATGCTAGGGCCGCTAGCGTTGTGGCTGGGCGGTGCCATACACGTAAATAAGCAAGGATCATCATAACTCCAGAAACAAGTTTGGCCAAGCGGCACTCAACACCATCGAATTCCTCGCAGAAAACGAATTCACAGAAAGCGAGAGTGGGATCCGTGAGAGCCCGGGAGCATACTTACAGTGCCGGTCAAAACGCAAATCATGCCTGTTCAGAACACTCGGAACTGGCCATGCTGCCTCTGCTCCAGAGTCGACGATAATAGTCATTGGAATGCAAGCAGCTAAGCTGGCACAAGCAGCCAGCGCGGAGTTCTTTTCCCTTGAATGCGCTGCTACAACATCCTCTGATGCAGGAGCCCATCCTCGCTGTGCTCCGCAAAAATCTCAGCCTTCCAGCTGCAGATGTTCGAAAGGCTGGAGGCGGGTCACGAAAGTTGAGGATTTTCACACACTAAAAAGCGCCAACACGGAGAATCATGTGTGCTGGCATCTGCTGTGATCTGCCGCATGTTCTCAGTCGTCTCTTCTGAGCTTGTGGTACATGCGAGTGAAGGAAACTGTCGGAGGGGCGCTGACACGTGCCGACACAGAGCCTACAGGCTGGATGTGTTCTGCGCTGAACGGTATTCTGGAAGAAAATCAGACAAACATGCAAAACACGGTTCTTTTTGCAGTATTCCCTCCACGCCTGCAGCGCCTCGCTGGCTGAGCATCGCACCTGCAAAAAAAAACAATGAACTGCTTGCCAAAGAGATGTAGAAAAGGTCTGCATTGCAAAGCTCAAGGAAACAATTGGAAGGCAGAAAACTTCCTTGGAAACAAAGCCCTTCACAGGCGCCTGGGGTGTGCCCTGGTTGCCTTGGGGGTGAACACTCTAAGGGGAAAAAGAGCGGTGCTGCACTCGAATTGGTAAATCTAGAATAATGCCTGCCAGCAGCCTCTTTACAATTTGAAAGCCCGTCAAAAGTTGAAGGGGCTGTCAATCCAAGACTTCCGAGCACCGTTATCTACATGATTAAGTAGCTTCGGTACCGGATGCCATTCCATCAGGCCAGGCCCGACCATGGTGACCCACGCGACAATGAAAGCACTGCTCAGATTAACATCTTCAAATCGATAATTCCGAAGTGCCTCTGGGTTCCTCCGCAGCAAGGTCCGCATAAATTCCACCACCTGTAGGAGTGTGAGAGCACAGTGTGAAAGCAAGCGAAAGCAAGAAGAGAAAGAGACAAACGCCTTGAGCCGCTTCAGCTGGATGGCCAGGTGCCGCGCCAACGTGTCATCCTGGGCCTGACTGCCTGGCCCACGTAGCCACGTAGTTACGCAGTCGGGTTCTCGGAAATGAAAAAAGGGTGTTGCGCCTGTCAGCGGGTTGGTGAGTGGATCTTCGCTCGAAGGGGCAATCTTGTGGAAGTCACTGGAGGAGCCTCTCAGAAGCATCACTTGGCAAGTGACGGCACGTGAGGTAAGGCCGAGTCCCGGGCCGGTGTTGGAGGTTGGAGCATTCAGACGCCGACGCATTTCGAGCCGGCCCTGACATGGAATGCTGCCATGACAGCTAGTGCAATGGAACCAATCACGAAGGTTTTCCAGAACCAGACGCCCCAGCCCTATCATGGCGCCTGCTCGGCAGCGATGCTGCGCTTCAGCTTTCCAGCGAGATTCATGAGCCTCACAGAGTCTCACAACACGGCTTCTGCTTCCAAGCTTTGTGAAGATTCTTGTCAGCCGTTCTCGTTCTTCCCGGCCTCACTGGCTCATTCTCCACCTGTGCAACAGTGAAGCCGTTTCCGTTTGAGGAAGGCATAGCACGGTACACTAACGGCCTTGATGATTTGGCGTGTCAACTCAGATTTCGTCTGCTTGGACTGCCCTTGGTCGATTCCATGTCCACTGACGTGTAAAGAGCTGGCACTTGGCACTGAGCCATGAACCAATCGGGAACTGCCCAACTAGAATCACATAGACCAGCCTTGAGACAGGGAAGCCCTCCAGAGCCCAAGGCTAGCACCTTTGACAAACCCTCAGGTCCAGGCACCCCGAGGGACCACATGTCCTTGTAGGAAGAGGAGGATCCGTGTTCAGGTTTGGGAAGTGAAGCATGATGCTGTTTCAGAAGCTCTGCTGGGTGGTAGCCAAGCATCTGCAGGGAAGCCATAGCCCTCCCCCGCAAGCATCTCTGGAGCCTCACCACAATCCCAAAACATCAAATGTGACAGATGCTGCTGGCTGCTGCTGGCCGCTGGCTGAGCATGCTAGGCGCAGGGCCATGTAGGACCTGGAGCCTCTTGCCTGACTTGCCACGCTTGCGAGGACTGTACGGCTGCCTTGCAACAGCAGCCACGCAGGCCATTGCTGGGCCACTGGCACGCGTCAGCGGGCCATCGCTGGGAGTAATGTAAACGGCCTGGCATCGCAGAAAGACTTGCGCCACTTGAATGATATGCAGTCAGTCCCTGTGAGCCGCACCAGGCCAAAGTCGGCAAGCTTCAAAGTCCTGCAGAATCACTGCATCCGCAGCCCCAATATGCCAAAATGGGTTTCGCTTCAGCCTCCCATCTGAGCCACCGTACAAGGCGTTTTCAGCCTCTCAGAAAAGGCAAAAGGGTGGCCGGATGCCAACAGGTTCCCCACCTTGATGTCACTGTGCAACACCCTCAGTGACCCGATTCTGCTGGCCACATGCCCTCCTTCACCTGCCGCTTCTTGAAAACCATTGGGCTGCGGCCGATGGTTGTGCAAATGTTGTAGACCAGCGACCAGCTGGAACAGATCGCCTGGAACAAGGAACGTTCACAGCCCTCCACTCTGAACCTTCAGCACCTTGCTTCGACGTACCGTATGTCAGAGAAGTCATGAAGCAAATAACTCTGGCGGAGCGCACCTGTCAACTGATCCCAGTGCCACTTGGGATTGTCGATCAGCCGGTCAAACCTTAGTACCAAGTTTCTCCCGAGTACGGAGCTCCCGCGTCACAAGTGTTGTGGTGTTTTGCCAGGAGATGAGGGAGCATTCAAAGCAATTGAGAGCGAAGAACGTGCTATCCAGAATTCATTCCTTCACATATTTTCACGGTGCGAGCGCCGCACAGAGAGCAGTCGCAAGCCTCCATGACCATGTAATAGATGTCGGCTTCCTGGCACCTGAGCTTGACTTGGCTCAAAGAATCGTAGCAAAGCAGAGACTGAATCTGAATTCTCAGGTCTGAAGATGGACCATGCATTCGCACACGCTGGGTTTGGGGTGCCCGCAGTTTCGGGTTTAGGGTTTAAGTCTTGACGATCTGCAGCAAGCCCTTCGCCTCTGCTCTGCAGGAGGGCAGTTTGGGTCCCTGGACATGGGCTGCATCCTGAGTCCACAACATCTGCACGAAGTGGACCACATTCCGGTGCGAAGCACAGAGCTTCCAGATCTCAGCATGTCAGCGTACGAGTGTGCCTTCTGCTTCTTTCTACTCAGCATGCACACCGTACATTTGGGCAGCATATGGCCCCCCACACTGTAGCACCTGTGCAGGAGGATATACTATGCAAACAAATCAAAGGCTTCATAACTCTGTACAAGTAAACACTGCAACTTCTGAACGTGTAGGTACCATAGGATAAAATTGGATGCCAATGCGCACCTTTAAGCGCAATCAAGGCAACCTGCATCCAAAGAAGCTCAACAACAAAAACAACGGAAGCCTTCACGGCCGCCCGCGGGCGGTCGTCAACAGAGGTTCTGTGCAAGAAGCGGCCTACCAACAATTGCCATCACAAAGTCACCGGGCCTGCTGGGCTCTTCCGAATCACCAAATCTATACCCCACCAGGCCATGCTGAGCCGTCACAGACAGATAACGTCAACTGAAGGATTTGGACGCCATGTTCTTCGCAGAAAGAGCAAAGCGCCGAAAGGAACCAAGGAGAAGCTGTTGTCAGAGGCCCTGTGCCTGAGGTTCCGGCTTTAGCCTGGCCGGTATGTGTCAATGCGCGAAGCGTGTGGAAGTCATCATTTAGTTATGTGCCATCCGTTGGGGCTCTGGCAACCGTTCATTCAGTTCAAGTGAGCTAGATTCTGGTACAATTGTCCATCTGACTTCACGGAACCATGGCCTCATGCTGGATCTTCTGCGCCGCTGTACGTCGGGAGGTCTGAACCTGGCATTGTCTCAAAACTGAAGAACAAAGCTTTGCGAGGAAAGCTTTCTTGAGGGCGCAGGCTCCAGCAGCCCCAAAATCACTTTCATCTAGGGCAGATTGCTCCAACGCCAGCCTGCCTTCACCGCGTAACTGGTCTGCGAGTAGATGGCCTTGCATTTGAATCGAATGCACGGTCAGGATTCGAGTTTGGTGTTCAGTTCTCGAACTGGTACAAGCATGTCGCGCACCTCCTAGGAAGTCTAGACAACTAGACAAAATTATTGAACTTTGAGTTGGGTGCTGGTTCTGTGATTTATGATTGCCAATGCGGAACAGTAGCCATGTGCCATCCACACGAAAGGTGGGCATGGAAAAGCAGATGCAACATGACATGGCTCGCAACGACGCTTTGATTGTCCTGCAAGGCTTTGACCTACCTTGTAAAGCACTCCTGCCCCTGAGCACCCTTCGAGCCTTCGCCAAGAACACGCAGCCGTAAGAGCCCTTTCCAAGCGCCGTACCGAGCCTGAGGGAATATGAGGGGTCCAAGGGCAGTTCGGAGCGCTTAAAGGGAGCTGGGTCTTCTGTGAGTCTTCAAAGCTGGCACTACCTGGAATTAGAGCCGCACCTTTGTTATTGTTGGATCTTCAAGGTGGCAGCTGAGTCAGGCTGCTACAGACTCTGACGAGATGACCGGATGCTGTGGGCAAAGATTCCAAGCCAAGCGGCTGGTAGCTGCTGTAGAAGCTAGCAAATTCCTCCCAGGCGTCAAAAACCACTCCTTGAACTTCTGCAGCTCTTGGCCCCGATGCTTCTTTGGGTTTAAGTGAGGAATATCCACCACCCAAACAGCTCAGTGCGAGTTTGCGTATCCCGGTCGTCCTCTCTTAGGCCTGGCAATGATGTGCTTGACAGCAGAAACACGACTCACGCACTAGAGAACAGGTCAGAAGCCTACAGAGGCACCGCAGCCCATGCCAGCGCAATCCTTGATTGCAAAGCATTGCCAAACTGGCCACCACAGGACAGCGTCGATAGACACAAATGTAGCAGCCCAGCTGCGAAGCATTTATTGCACTGGTGCTGGCATCTGGCCCTTAAGGCTACATGCACAGCACGCAGGGCCCGACACGGCTGCAGCATTCACAGGACGCACATTCAGCATGTCTGTGTGAGAGTTTTGGGGTTTGCCGAAGCTGTGGTTGGATCCTGGAGGGTCGACCCACGCTAATCTACGTTGCATCCAGCACACACCCACATACTAGCATGCCAGGGTCTGCATGCAAACTACTGTGGATGGAGGAAGTCTTGCACCACCACATGTAGCCTTTAAAATAGGAATTACGTGCACTCTTTCTTCCATCCACGCTAGCACTACTGAGGCGAACCTGTTTTCACCAACACTGCGATTGCGCTTTGCAGCGGCGTTTCTGTGCAGCCAGCTCAGCCGGCGCATGTATTGAGGTTAGACTGGAGAGGAAGGATGAGCGGCGATTCATCGTGCTTGCAAAGCGAGCCCTTGCGTAGCGAAACCCTGAAGACAACGGCCTCTCCCACCACCCCAAGGCTAAGGCCACAGGCTCGCTTAGAGAGCCCTTGGCTCAGAAGCGCAACGCTTCGAAGTTCACAGGGCCAAGGCCTCCTGCAGTGCAATCTTAACCCAGAGAGTGTGGCACCCAGTGGCCAGTGAGCCAGTGGTCCTCTACCCGCGGCAGGCTTTCGACCACGCGGACGTCAGGAACCTGGCACCAAGCTACGCGCACTCGGTGTCCAAACCAGCTAATAAACCCGCTTCCTGCTTCCCGCCTTGCCGAGAAGCGCCTCAGCAACTTCCGGCGACGCCTGTGCACTGGACTAAACCTATTTGTCAGGTCTTGGCCTCCTTTTCCAAGTGGACAGCGGCCGAAGCATCAATTATTGGACTCAGCATGGGGGCATGAGGACATGTCAGCACCCACACCTCCAGGTGGAGATCTGGCTGTAGCTGCCGGACCATGGAAACGCGCCCTCAGACAGCAAACAAATAAAAGCGGCTGGGATGTAACGCCCATTGTCAAGAAAAAGACGCGTCAAGCTTCCAATCAGGCCTCTACATCATAAGCAAGGCACGAGACTTCAAGGACATTTCTCGATTAATGTCACATGCAGGCGGCATAGGTTGGCGACTATGAACAGCCGAAAGAATCACTGCATCGGCCATGCTCTGGAGAACGCGAAGTGCCCAGCCTTCTTGGGTGCTGGAGAACATGAGCCGGTGCCTCCGTGTTTGCTGCTGTACGAAGATAACCACAAATGGAACAGAACACCACAATCCTCGCAGTCACAAAGAGGCGGGGCCGTGCCAGGTCCAGGATCACTGGAATGTGGGGCTCGAGAAGAGCTCCCCGCAGCAGCAACACATGACACCATCAGACACCCATGCGCTAGCTCGGAAACTCGGAAACTTGATACCTTTCAGGGTTTCACCTTCAAGCTGCTTGGGCCTCTTGAAGCCAGCTCGTCGAGCACCGAGACTATCAAGCATCTGGAGCACCTCAAGCAGAACATAACCTCCTGGCAAACCACTGCCTCGTCAGTTTTGAACACAAGTCGCTCTTCATTGCCTAAATTCTTACAATGGGCTTTTCAGGAGTTCATTCAAGATTTGTTGTTACTGCTCCCATCTCTTGGTTGGGTTCCTGATTCTTCGTGCGAGAAACATCCAATTTGCGGCACTTGTGCCTGCGCTTCTCTGGCATCGCTGTCGGCTACTGAGAATGCGAAGACCTGTGAAGTCGAAGGCTCCAAAACGTGATCCAATGATCGTCAATCTTCGCCTCGCAGCTCTGGCAGAACTCCAAGAAGTTTGCAACCTAAGTAATGGATCCCGTCCCAACAGTCCCAGCATCACAAAACCCCAGGGTCTGGCAGCAGGCCCACTATCCTTAGCATCCGTCAACACAGAAGGTACCATGATCGCTTTGTTCAGCTTTCTGGGTGCGGGCGGCAAGGCCCAGCAGAAGACCGTCCAGGGAGATGCTCACCCGCTTCCTCAGCTCAACGCAGCTCCCCATTTTCCGATGCAAGCTGTGGCTGTGGCCCGTTTGGGGCCAGGGCTTTTCTGGCTGAGACCGGCCTTACCCAGATACATCAGGCAGAGGCTGTTCATTGTGTCGCAGATAGACACTGGAGTCCGCCGAGTTTCTGCTCTTCTCTGGAGCACGGCTTGCTAGCAAGAAGAACAGCGCACAGACCTGGGAAGCACCAGACAGGGGCAAGCGGCGACGAAATTTTGAATTGCAAGGGTCCAGGCTATTGCGATGACTGTCCAGATAATGTATGGCGCATTCCTGCAGCTTGGCTACATGGGGAGAAACCGTATTTCTGGGCTCACACGGTCCTTTTGCTCATGTACAGGGAAGGGTCAATAGCCATTGCACAGGCACAAAGTTTGCTTGTGACCAACTCCCTGAACACTGCCATGATAGCTTCGTCATTTGCAGGGTTTTCTACGATCACCAGCCTACCATGTCTGCAAGCTGTTGGGGATCTATGCTGTGCATACTACAGCTCAAGGTTAAAGCTTAAGAAGGGGTCTTACACCATAGCGGTCAAAAGCGTTGCAAGCTTTAGAGTTGAGATTCTACAAGTAATAGCAGACCGCTTGCACGAAGGTTCTCTTCAGGCTGATGTGGTCATGAATTTGTACTCACGATGCAGAAAGCACACATGACAAGGCATGTGACATATTGCTGGCAGGCATGTGACATCTTGCTGGATCCACAATGCTGCTGCCATGCCCCATATTTAGATGGACACTATCCATCATTAGCTCATGACCTGAGCCAAAATGTGGTCGTCAGCATATCCCATGTACGTATTTTGCTTTGGATCGCCCATGCTTGAAGGGTGATGCTTGTCTGTATTTGTGCTCGACCTCCAACGAACAAAAAGGGCAAGGGCAAGGGCAAGGGAAAAAAGGACTCTGCAGATAGTGAAGCAACAGCATCCGAGGCCAAAGCAGAAGCGAAAGCAAAGACAAAACAGAAGCAAAGGCAAAAGCAGCAGCTGGAGCAGAGGCTAAGAATGGCTAAGATGGCAAGAGGGAATTTCTCTTGCAGGCGCTATGGCTGGTGCAGCTACAGCGAATTAAATCCGTGGTCAAGTCGGCAAGGGGCATTGAACACAGGGAGCGCGGTCAGGAATACTCCGGCTCCGAGCTCTCAAATAATGAGCACTCACCGCTAGACTCAGGGGAGTCGACCTAGGCATGTCGTGAACCGTGCTGCCACTGAGTTTCACGTGGCAGAGAGGGTAAAAGACGTTGTCCGAGGCCTTTGGATGTTTTCTGAAAAGTTGGGTTTTGACGTGGCGATGGAAGGGGAGCAAGTTAGCCTTGGACAGTTCATCATGCGTGCCTTGCTGCGTGAATGGATGCGGATACAAATCAAGAGCAGATGTTGGCTATCGCTTACAGTCATGTGGCTCCGAGAATCACACCCTGGCCTTTACATCAGGCTAACCTTGGAATCATGACACCATTGAGTCAGGCAGCCGGGGACCTACAAGATGTCAGGAGATGATCTTTGGAGCGCGCTCCAGTGTGGAGCGTTTTCGGGCGCCTGCCGGAGATGGCATTCCGTCTATGCGGTATCCAACAGTCCCAACCCCTCCGAACATGTGGCCGTGGCGCTGTGGCCAAAACGGCTAACAGAGACACACCGCACGCAACCGTTGCGGAAAAGGACACTTCCTTTTTAATTGGTCTGTCGTGACATGAGGAGGGGCACTCGATACATTACTTCATGTTACGTAGTTCGAGAGGGTGCGCTGGATAAGAATGCTTGAATTAAATGTTGACAAAGAACATGCATCAGAATCGAAGCGAAACTCGGATTTCGTCACGGTGCTACACAACTTCCCACAAATTGCTTTAGGGACCCCACGTCAAAAAGGAATGGTGGTCCCTCCCCTGTTCATTTCCACAGTTTTTAACACGTTGCTCACTCCCCATGCCGGCAATCCTTGGCTGCCCAAAGCAGGGAAACACCTGAAGCAGCTAGTGACCCTTCACTGGCTCGTACGTGCTCTCTCGGGGGACATCCCAGTAGAACAAGTACAGCGAGGATCCATTGAACAGGATCTGGACCTCACAATCAGGATGCAGCACCGTCTTCAACAGCACATGCGTGCAAATGCAGGCATAAGAGCTCGGCTAGCAGAACCACCAAGCCGCTGCATGAAGAACCGTCCTGCGCTTCAAACGTTTCTACCTTGTAGCTGCACTGCAACAGCAGCAGTAGCACCGCTCCACAACGAAACTCGCGACGACCAGCGCGCAAACGAAGCTGGCTGCAAATTGGAACATCTGCAAGTACGTGATCGCAGCTTTCCACGGCCTTGAGTTTAACTCTCACTGCTGAGAAGGCACAAACAAATCCGATAGCCAATCATCAAACAATCACAGCAGGGAATGCTTTCTCGCATTGACATTTCCGTCCTAGAATGATATGCGTCCACAGTTTGGGTTGCCTGCTTGCTCCTGGGCCCGAATCCCTGCACGGACGGATATGAGTCTGCAGCAGCTCCGGCGATGGAAACATGAACACAGAAGGGTCACCTCATCTCTGATGCGTGAAGGGTGTCTGCAGGGCGCTATACACAGTACAACATGCGTGAAAATTTCTCAGCAGCACACTTACCAGTTGATCACACGCAGGCTTTACAGGCCTTGCGGCAGTTCTGTGGATGTCGGTACATTGCTCTCCTGCAACTTTACCTGCCTGCCCGCAAGCTGGCAATGCTTTCAACAGCTTTCGCTAGCACATGCGTGGCATTGAACCTTGCAACAAATGTGTTCTCGTCCGATGGCCACTGGAAACTGCTAACAGCGCTGCCCTAGAAATGTCCTGCGCTTGCCTCCTTTTGGCTGCTGCATGCGCTTGTCAGGCTAAAGTCTCGCCGAAATATTTTTCCTGGTCTAGATGTTTGGCTGCGAGCTCTAGAGTATCGGTTATCGAGACAGTACTCTTAGCACCGTAGGCAGCCTTGAGTTCATTTGAAAGCCACGCTGTTGCTGCCACTCCGGCTTCCGTCTGCCCCATGATGCTTACCTGAAATTTCAAAGCGCCTGCCGGCTTTCTCTGCAGAATACTTTCTCGAGAGAGATTGTCTCCCAGCAACAGTTGGCTTTTCAAGTGGCCCTCCAGTAAACTTCAATTTTGCCCAGAGAGGCAGATCCCTATGTTTGTCTCCGGTTGGTAATTCTGACAAAGGGCCAGTCGTGATCCTGCATTGCGCAAGCAGACCTTGACATGCCTAACAGGACGCCGGGGCATAACGAGACTCCTGAGTTCTTTCCATTTGTATTCCCAAGATGAGGCCTCGCGGCAAACTTTCATACCCAACAGGACGTGGTTCCACACGGTGTACACCCATTCAACGCACACCCAGGTCGTCGCAATCAAGATTCTCTGAGATCCCCAACTTGCGGCCCCCATTCCAGAGGCCCCCAGACACATGTGGCCCCTATGATGATGAGTTGACCCATTTTCCTGATTCTATCCATTGCCTTGACAATACCCATTGATGGCTTTTCTTCCACATCAAGCAGATGCGCAACTTGGATTCAACAAGCTGTAAGATTCACCTTCGTCTCCCACGAGCAACCACTGTCACCTCTGCAACACGCCGCCGCAACTCGTATCCTGCAGCTGCTGCCGCAACGTTTTCACAACCGACAGACCTTCAGCATTCATTGTCCTCATTTATGTACATGTGTAAGACAAAAGGCAATTCTGTAAGATTCGCTTTCATCCTTCATAGGCAACACTGTCAGTTCTGCAGCGCGCCACTGCAACTTGTTGCCTCAGCTGCTGCCGAAATGTTTTCACAACCGACCGACCTTCAGCATTCACTGTTCTCATTTACGTTTATGTAAAACAAGAGCAGTTGGGTAAGATTCGCTTTCATCTCTCATGGGCAACCTCTGTCACTTTTGCCGCCGCAACTCGTTCCTGCAGCTGCCGCCGCAATGTTTCCACAGCCAAGAGGCCGTCAGCATTCATCATCTTCATTTATGTATACATGTGAGTAAGAAAAAGGCACTTATGTAAAGTGACTTTCATCTTTCACAGGCAACACTGTCGTTTCTGCAGCACGCTTCCGCAGCTTGTAAACTGCAACTGCCGCCGCAGCGTTTGCACAGCCAGCAGACCTCCAGCACCCATCCCGGTCATTCATTGTAATTAGGACAAAGGCACAGCAGTGATGGGAGAAGCCGGGTTAGCCCTTGATGTGGAAGGCTTGAAAGACCAGGTTGACCATTTGGAGAAGAAATTACAGGATGTTGAAAGTTGACAATGTTTCAAATTTGATGCGCCAAACGCTAAGTGAGTTGGCTACTCTTAGGAATGCAAGCGCGGATACACTTAGCACCCAACTTTTGGGCACAGAGGGGTGATTCTTGATCTTGAAGCTGAAAAAATGCAGCTATGCGGCATTCTTATCAGGTATGAGAAGGAAACAAAGCGTGATTCATCTGCTGGACCTTAAGATCTGCAGTGTGGGCAAGTATGGATTCAAGTTGAACTTTCTCTTCCTCTAGCTGTTTTGACAACAGGTATAACCTGCAGCGTGCGCGCGGCAATTCTGTTTCCAAGAATGTATTCCGCAGAGTGAGAATTCCAACAAAGCAGGGGGCCAGCGCATG